GGCAGCTAGTGTAGTCCTGGGTAGAGTGGTCAAAACTTCCAGACTTTTTGCGTCCACCACTGTGATTCCCTCTCGTAACAACAGCCTCATCAGGATACCTGACGGGTAAACAAGGGAACTTATATATAATTTTTTTTATACATGCATTACATAGATGTCTGAGCTTGTATGAGGTTCTACAGTGTGACATGCTGAATAAAAGTTCTAAGCGGGAACTATGTGGCTCCAGATGTCTTAACTGAGGGACGACTGCATGTGCAAGATGTCAGTTAGCTTGAGGAATGAATCCCCTCTACTATATACTTGTGTGAAGTTCTAATTATAATAGTTCTTTCTGGTACTGTGTGTATTCTTTTGTGGCATTATGTCATTATGCGGATCACATGTTTTTTTGTAATACTGTGCAGTCTGTTATTTTGTACTATGTATGCCCTGCACTTCCTGAAAAACAGGTTTTTATTCACTCTGAGTGCAGTTGCTGGTGAAATAAATAAATAAACTGAAACTGAAAGTTTCCAACACAAGAAATTTGACTGTACTTACCGTACTCCATACTCTGTCATGGAATAAAGCAATTAGACAAAGACTGGAGATGTACAGTCAAAAATTTGAGTATGTCCAATTTCTTGTGTTGAAACAGTTTAAACTTGCTTCATAATAATGACTTCTATCAGTATCAACAGATGAACTTTCAAGATAAAATCATCATTATGACAGCAGTAACTGCTAGTGCTATCACACATCATTCAATAATCATTCATGTACTAGAATCATGCAGAATCTGACACTGATCACAGTGTAACATGACTTACTGCCATCTAACCATTCAATTACATCATTCCTGCTGCAGGTGTCAGGGACACAAACTCCAACTTGCAGGTACAGCTTCTGGAAGGAGGACACAGTTGCAACACGGATTCAACAATCAAACAGTGCAAATCACAAGATTGGAGTCGAAATGGAAATGCAGCGTGCAAAATACCTGGTTGCCCAGTTGCCCCGGAGAACCAAATTTTACTTGGGGCAACCTATTTTTTAACCTAGGTAGCCCAGTGTGCTACCTGAATTTTAAGAATGCCCCCCCACCCACCCACAAAAAAAAAATCATGCCCACTTGGCTTGCACCACTGTATCCAGCAGATGCTTTTTACTTTTAGGTGTCAATGGCTATTACCATTATCAGTTAACTAAAGGCTGTTAGAAATATTGTCAAAGGCTAATATGTATATAGCACTACTTAATTTGAGGAAAGTAGTAACTTATAGGTGGGGCAACCTAAAATTCTGATGGGCAACCTAATTTTTGCCATAGGACAAAAATTCCATTCCTATTTTTTGACATAAGGAATTATGTCTGGTATATCAGTTTAAACAATTGTCCATGCTATAGTTAATACAATTATAGTAAAATAGAGACGAAGAAAAATTAGGAAAAAGAAGATAGTTGCGAAGGAGATGCCGTAATGATGATGACGACTAGTTACGAGATATAACGAGTTCTTTATTGCAAGTTCGTGCCCGAAGGCTAAATGGAAACAGAAATGGAACAATGAGTACAGAATGGGGTGAATTTAAGACTATGATTATGCTAACATGCTTATTTAACTCACTATATCTACTTTAAAACTAAACATAACGTTGGTGTACAGGGTAAAGAGTGGATATGATTCGCATAAATAGTAGACGTGGTAACTGCTATTCTATTCTATGGTATACTATTCTAGCAAAGTTGCACACTGGTCTACAGGGTAAAGAGCATGGGGACAGGGAACATGGAAAAATGACAGCGATGGTGACCAATGAATACGACACATTACGCGCTTTATTGTTGAAACTGAGATGCAAAAAGTTGACAAATCTCTAACAGCTACCTCTAGTTAACAGAACACTAGAAAAAGAAACAACTTTTTTTACTTCACATTGTACAAACAACAATCAGCAATCAATCAACCGTAACTAAACGCTAAAACATCTACTAGTAGTATACACTGCAAGGGAAGGCGGAGGGTGGACGAATGAGGGGGCGCCCTCGAAGGACCTGGACTAGTGACCTTAAGGAATGGACAGGACATCCCCTGAGTCACCTGACAAGTCTGGCTGAGAACCGCCCTGGGTGGATAACTCTTGTGGACAGTTTAGTTGCCCCGACGGCAGGACAGACTGCTATGGGACCGGTGAGGTGAGGTGAGGAGTATATTTACAAATACTAAAACAAAGAAGACTACATTGCGATGAATTGATAACATACTTCACAAAACGCTACGGATCCGTTATATTTACATGCCTGTACTTGTACATGTTGTTAACAGACGGACAATGACACATTACGGTCAAACGAATGAACGGTGTCCTACCATGTAACTATTGTTTAAATACTACACTTTCGCATTTCAAACACGACTTCTAGCATTAATCAACAGGCTATCGAGTATGCATCTATTTTGATATTAAAACACCGCTATTGTTTACTTGACAATGTGTAGACAGTACACTGCTAATAGAAAAAAAAGTAAATACCTTCCCAAAAAAATAACACAATAAGATGATCCCACTATCAGAGGTTGACAGACTTTTGCCGATATGGATTTTCATGTTGCCAATCTGACGAAAGCCTCCGTTGCACTTAGGCCATGTTCGGTTTCTCCACTCGGTGAGTCCGCACGTGCTTCTTTAAACTGCTCAGTCTGGTGAATTGACTGTTACACTCTTCACATTTGTAGGGTTTCTCACCGGTGTGAGTTCTAATGTGCTCCTTTAGATGCACCAGCTGACTGAACTGCCTGCTGCATTCTTCACACTTGTATGGTTTCTCACCAGTGTGAGTCCGAATGTGCTTCTTCAGACTACCAAGCTCACTGAACTGTCTGCCACACTTCTCACATCTGTACGGTTTCTCACCTGTGTGAGTTCTAATGTGCCCCTTTAGATGCACCATCTGACTGAACTGCTTGCTGCACTCTTTACATTTGTAGGGTTTCTCACCCGTGTGAGTCCGCATATGTGTCTTTAGATTTGACAGTTTACTGAACGACCGGCTGCACTCCTCACACTTGTACGGTTTCTCACCTGTGTGAGTCCTTATGTGCTCCTTCAGAGCACCCCGCTCACTGAACTGTTTGCCACACTCTTCACATCTGTACGGTTTTTCCCCAGTGTGAGTCCGCATGTGTATCTTTAGATTTGACAGTGTGCTAAACGACCGGCAGCAGTCCTCACACCTGTAGAGTTTCTCTCCCGTGTGAATCGTCATATGAGTCTTCAAACTACCTTGGGTACTGAACTGTCTATTGCACTCCTCACACCTGTACGGTTTCTCGCTTGTATGAATCTGCAAGTGTCTCTTCAGATTACCCATTCTGTTGAACTGCTTGCTGCACTCTTTACACCTGTACGGTTTCTCACCAGTGTGAGTTCGAACGTGTCTCTTTAGATCACCTAGCTCAAGAAAACACCTTCCACATTCCTCACACCTGTATGTTTGCTCACCTGTGTGAGTCCGCTTGTGTCTCTTCAGATTAGTCAGCAGACTGAAGCCTTTGTTACATTCCTCACATCGGTAAGGTTT